AGGATGAGGCCCAGAAATCAGGATTTTAAAAAGATTCCCAGGTGATTCTAACATGCAACCAAGGTTGAGAACCACCGGTGTAGATAGACAATTTTAACTTAAGGATATGGCTCAAAAGTGGCTTAAAACATTTATTGAATTTGAAAATATAGGCTGTTTTTCCATACTTCATTGTTAGTTACTGTCAAGCTAGCTAGATTTATAGTTTAGGACTGGCAAACAACTAAAATTTATCTAGTCCAATCCCTTCATTTTACAGATGAGAAAAATAAGAGCCAAATGGGTAAAATAATTTTCTCAAGTTCACACCTTCTTGTATGTAGCAGTAACAGTGCTGTCCTTTGGGTGTTCACAACTTTGGAAATGTGGTAGTGTTCATTAATTTTGATCTCAATAAAATGGCTACTCAGGTACTCCCTTTAATTTGGTATTTTCCATTGTCGAATGGTTGACTCCTTCTTGTTCCACCCGAAAGACCCTGGTCGATGACTAAGAATTTGATGCAGGCTGCGTAAAAGAATACGGTGTATTTAGAAGTTTCTATTAGTTCTCAGTATAATGTCATAAAGAATATTCTTTACAGTGTTTTGCTGAGCAGAACTTTATAAGTTTTTGCATCAGCAAAAATAGCTCTTAAGCCTAGTTGGTGAGGGGGTGGTGGTGGAGGAAGTGGTGGAACAATTCTACTTTCTAAAGCAAATACCTGAAACTAGGAGTGATGTGAGGCACAGACAGACAGCTGGGGTGAGAAGAGAGAGTGAGAGGGCCCAGCAACAAAGAGACCGGAGCTTGTGAGAAAACATACTTTAACAGAGATGTGTTCTGGTGGCCAGTGATGTAGATAGAACCTTTGGGGGATACTTTCTGTCAGAAATTTAACCTGTTAAGAGAAAGGCAGAGTTTTAATAACATTCCTCTCTGGAGACAATAAGAGAAATGTGTTTTTTAAAAGCAGGGACTGTTGTGAATTTTTCGTAAATTCATTATAGGCCTGGGACTTAATGTGTAGTTTGTTCTCAAAAGTCAGTTATTTAACTAATACTTCCAGTTCTGAGGTGGTAGCTAAATCCTAGGCATGTCCTGAAAAGGGCTTTGATAACAGTGTTCTGTCACAGGCTGAGAAGCACATTAACTCAACAGAGCAGAACTGAAATCGCTTAAGGTCTAGTTTCTGAATATATGCTAGAGACACTAGTTATTTGGTATTTTAATATATATTATACTGCACTCTAAACATGCACTAAATCTTGAACAAACATCCCTTGGGAAGATATATTTTTTTTCTTTTTGAGCAGGAGTTTGAGAAGATAATTATTTTAATCCCTAGGTTTCTGGAAAGAAAAAAAATGAAGGCCAGATTAAAAAAAAAAAAATCGATGTTTTCAGGCAAATGTAAAGCTTTGAACTTGTAGATCTTGATTTTAATCCCTAGGTTTCTGGAAAGAAAAAAATGAAGGCCAGATTAAAAAAAAATCGATGTTTTCAGGCAAATGCAAAGCTTTGAACTTGGAGATCTTGAAGTATTGTACAAGGTAAGCTTTAAACATGCTTGCTAAAATACTTCAAAAAATGCTGTTACACTAAAAAGTGAGTATCTGCCTCACTTCTGACTTCTAAAAATTATCTAGAGTACGACTGATAAGACTTTGGCCTTTAATCCATCTTGCTATGGCATAAGCCTAAAATTTCTGTTCCTTTCCAACCACCATAGCCTGCAACCCTTCTAGCGGATTTTTGCTGTTTACTAGTACAAGCTCAGTGCAGAGAGGGCTTCAGTGGAGGAGAGCAACCACACGTTCAGTAAATGATTGTTGAACGATGACTAAGCTGAGCTGGGACACAATTCGGGCTCTGCCAGTGTATTTTTTGACCTTAGACTAGTCACTCTACTTTTTTCTTAATTTTCCCTTCTTACGGGGAGCTCATAATAAAAGTAACTGTAAACTACTTCGTGGAGAGCTTTTATTTTAAAGGGCTGCCAATAAATACTGGAGTCACAAGGTCTCACAAACCTCCCTCAGAAGCTAAGTTTATGGAGGGATAGGGAACTTTTTCCTCCTTTGAATCAGCAGTATCTTATTTGTGTTTTGGGAGTACAGTTCCTGGCCTTTAAAAATGACTCCGTAAATACTGTATGTTTATGAACGTTATGAGGCAGATAACAGTCTTGGCAGTCCACTGCCTCTTAAATCTCTTCTCTGCGACCCTTTTCACACTCAGCATCTAAAAGGCCGCCGCTCTTTGCTCTAGGATATGTACCCAAGGCATTTACTTCAAAACACCCACGTCTAGAGGAAGAATTCTTCTGTGTTTTAGGGTATCATATCCCTTTTCCGCAGCACTGCACCTCAGGCTTGGGATCTGGGTCCGGAGGCACCGGGAAGAGTTCGGTAAAGGAAGCTCAGCTTCCCGCCTTCTGATTGGTCGGCTCGCACTCCACTCAGGCAGCTCGCTGTTCTGATTGGCCACCGTGCCCCCCGCCTCGGCTCGCGACTACTTTGTGTGCCCGGCCAGCGCGCTCAGGTCCTGGGTCTCAGCTCGCCGTCTGGGCTGGTGTGAACTAGCTCTTCGGCCCACTGCTCTGCATCGCGGGCGGCAGGAATTTCCCGAGTCCGAGCGGGTAGGAAGCATCCTGAGGAAAAGCCCCCACCCCTTCGTTCCGTGTTCTCTTTCCCGTACTGAATAAACTTCCGCCTCATTGAGGGGCTGTCGCAGCCGCGGGTCGGGGGTGAGGCCAGACATCGAATTCAGGCCCGTGTGGGGGATCTTTACATCCGGCGAGTGTTGGAAACAGCTCACACGAGAAAGTAGGGCTTCGCCAGTCGGTTGTGGGTGCGTGCCAGTCTATGTTCGCCTTGCAAGCTGCAGCCGGGCAGCGGCGATCATCCCTAACAAGTGGCAGAGAGCCTGCTCCCAATCTCCAGTACCAGGTGCTCCTTGGGGCCGCGGCTGAACTAGCGCGGGCCAGTCCCGCCCCAGCGGTCGAAAATGCGGGATTCCCTGGAGGTGGCGCTCCCGGGAATGCGAAGCCGGCTGGTCTCGCGCCCCCCTCAGCCTCCGGCCTTCCA